GCTTTGACTCCTTGTGTGTGCGCGCGTGTGTGTGTGCGTGTGTGGGTGTGGGTGTGGGTGTGGGTGTGTGTGTGGGTGTGTGTGTGGGTGTGGGTGTGGGTGTGGGTGTGGGTGTGGGTGTGGGTGTGGGTGTGCGTGTGCGTGTGCGTGTGCGTGTGCGTGTGCGTGTGCGTGTGCGTGTGCGTGTGTGTGTGTGTTCGTTTGGCTTGATTGATGGGAGTTTTTCAGCGCCTGAATTCTGCCACTCCGTGCCGTGCCGGCGTCCAAAAGGCTTGGGTCTAGTTCTACGAGGACTCGGGCGTCACTGCATGTCACGTCGTTGGCGAGTGCCAAACCGGCTGGGCGACTTCGGGTGGCCCACCATGGGTGGCTGCCCATGGGGTTTCGGCGCATTGTTTTGGCCGATAATTGCATGGAGCTTGACAAATAGGTCAATGTGGGCACAGAGCAAAATGGTGGACGAAGGCAGCATCTGCTTGAGAGATGCCGAAATGGCGTCGAACTCCGCGCTTCAAAGTCTCCCCAACCGCCATGCAAGGGGTACCACCGCTGTACCTTTTTCGCTTTGGCTCTCTTGTGCCGATTTAAATCCCACAAGCTATTCTGTAATAATGTGCTGAGGTGTCTGTACTGATTAATTACCCCGGACATGTATGGACATTCATTCTGTAAGAGTGCGTGGACCGGTTTCCGCGTAAAGTGACTTGGGCAGCCAAGCCTTCTCTTTTAAAGGCAAGGCCACGAGCTTGCTTGTCCAGGGATCGCGCCCGCCTCCCACAGTCGCAATTCGTGCCGTGCCAGTAGGTGCTGAACCGCAAAGTTGCATGAACTCTTATTCTCGTATTCTGTTCGCCGGTCCGCCGTCCTTCTTACCAGATACGGCAAACTCCGCTTGGCAGTTGTGCTCTCTAGGATGGCAGGCCTGCTTTGCCGCAGCAACCCAGAGCATCTTAGAACTTGCAGTTCAGATTGGTCCGTTGGTGCGCAGATCATATTGTAGATTCACATCTTTGCATATCTTTGCCAGTGCTACTATCAATGACACTGAACAACATTAGACTACATGTAAATAGGAGGGGGTCAGCCTTGGAAATTCGGACGTCAATGGAGTAGCCTCCCGACGCGCAGCCATCAGCATTTTTCTAAACAAAGATGTCATCATTTCCTGCCGCGCCGGAGGCCCTGTTTGCCGCAAAGATCTAGTTGGCGAGGCGGGGGCATTTCATGTGCATGGCGCCACAGTATGGCGGACAGTCGGGGTCAGGACATTGACGCTGACTTCACGGCTCAGGCCCGGCAACTGGATGTAAGTCAGGTGCAGAACATACTTGCCGTTTGCTTCAGGTCGCCCGCTGCAAGCTGCACTGCCAAACATGTTTCGGACTCAGTTGCTGCAGTTAACAATTTAACAACCTTAAAAGAACTGTTTCTTGTTTCTGCTGTTTGCTTTTTTACTGCCATGCACCTTCGCTTCATCTGCCATCGTACACCGGAAAGTCTGCGAGTTCCATGCAGCTTTCCGGTTTCTGACCGCTTGAAGCATGTCTTGCTGCATCAAGCGAGTGATGTTCGGGCCTCGCCGTTCAAGCTTCTCGTTGTCTTGCCAGCCTGGCGTGCTCCATGGCCATGCGTCCCGATCACAAGCGCATTTTACATCAATTTGCTCAGTCAGGCTTTCCAATTGGCAATTCTTGGAAGGTTGGGCATACGGCCAAATTGGACTTCCGCAAACCTTCGGGACTTTTGCTACGTCTTGGCTCGCTGTCCATTGTGCTCCGAGCTATGACATCTGTGAAACCTGGAAATTGACATCTATCCCATCGCCAACGACAGATGTCATAAGACTTCGAGTACGTCGTTTCATGTTAATCTTGAACCCGAGGCTGTGGGGTATCCTTGCGATCTTAGCTTTGAGCGAAGTGCGCCTTGTTTCGTGGTTACTGCACCGCTTCTTCACCCAGAGCGGCGCTAGGCAAGCTCATGGCAGCCGAGGTCCTCGGCTAGTTTGCCAACGGAATCTATTTATCATGGCTACTCGCTGCCTGCAGTAACGACAGACATAACTACTCAGAACTTTGCGCGCTTTGAGATTGATTGATGACTACCGTGCTGTTGTACGTTCTGGTTGAATGATAGCAAGTTTGTTCTATCATCGCAATTCTCTGCTGCTTCTCGAAAGAAACTTCATGAAGGCCACACTCCCCTCAAAGCCTTCGGATTCGCCTTGCTCTCCATGTGCATACGAACACATATCGCGATGTAAATGGTGCAAGCATGGGGTGGAGTTCGCTTTTGCGCTTCCTTTTCTCTTTTCTGCAGGTGGCGAGGACATACCTTTGCTAGAAGCAGAAAGCTGGGCGCCTAGATTATGCGAGATGCATTATTCGAGACGTCAAGGTGCGCATGCTTCACTTTTGAAATTCCAGAAGAGGGCAGCCAAGAGGCATCCAAAGATAAGGCCATTGCTGCGGACCCCCTCGCAAGAGTCCACGGCACGACCGCGAAGAAGGCCAAAAACTGTTGAGGTATCATGAAGTCAGGTCATCAGCGGTAGCCACTGTCAGTGCGACAGCTGCTTTGGTTGATTCTATGATTCTATGTCGCTGCTGGAGTCGCTTCTTGAGATGGCTCCAAGGAAAAGCTGCGCTTTGCTTCTGCATCGTTGTCGTTCCCTAGCATCCCTAACAACTGAAGGCCTCGATGTGCCTTTGCGCGCGCCTCGTGCGCCGCCTCCAAACCGATCCACCTTCAAGTGCCCTTGGTGTCCGACACCAAGACGCTGAGGCATGCGGCAACAAACATGCCTCAACATGCAGTTGCATGTCGTTCGGTCCGCGGCACGCTTGCGAGGTGAAGAAGTGAACTTGAGCCCTCAGGCACTGCCCGGCACTTAGCCCTTCCATGCATGCGGCCATCAAGCTGTTGGATGGAGATATTGGCGGAATGTCCGGAGGTCATGGCATGTCATGGCTTGGGAAACTAAAGTACTCGCAGCTAAAGCTGCTTTTGGTAGGAGTGATGAACGCGTCGTGGTGAGGTTGGAACACTGCAAGGCAAAGCATCAGGGTCCGAGAGGACCGACCTCTGCAGTGTGCAAACCTCGTTCGGGACGCGGTGCGTGTGTGTGTGTGTGTGTGTATATATATATATATATATATGCGTGTGCGGGTGGGTAGGTGTAGGTAGGTAGGTAGGTAGGTAGGTAGGTAGGTAGGTAGGTAGGTAGGTAGGTAGGTAGGTAGGTAGGTAGGTAGGTGTGTGTGAGTGTGTGTGTGTGTGTGTCTGAGTTAGAGGCAGGGTGTGACAGAGAAAATGGCCACAAGCAACTTGAAGACAATTCAAGCGAAGTGCTGAATGGAGGTAGTCAGGCAGAGAGTGCAGCTACACGGAACCTTTTCTTCTTTCAGTCATGCACTATATGTCACCATGTGGAAGACCGCCTGAAAAGGTGCCCAATCTGCGCAGCCATGCCGTGGGGAGACCCAAACTATGCCATGCACCCAGCATATCACTTTCGCGGCTGGTTGTGCGCCTTCTTTTGAGCTGTCATCTCAGTCAGGTATCTCGAAACTTCATTTCGCACCTCGAATTGCGGCACCGCTGTGATTACGCTGCTGCTGCCTTAGACCTCCCGGAACAGCCAGACCTGTATGGCAAAAGCAGCATGCAAATGGGCGTACCTATTGGGACTGGAAGATCGAGCCCTGAACAAATGGCTGATCAATACAAAAGCTCAGCATGCGAATGCTCAGGGGTAAAGCTTTTGAGTTGAGGTTCTGACCGACTTCGATGTTGATGAAGAGGCGGAGCCATTTGCATCCCTTCACAGGTTGCGAGCCTACAGAACAGAAAAGAGAAACAGGAATAGTTGTGAGATGCGGTACCGGTTATTGCCCCTTTGGGCAAGCATTCTGACACATGTTGTGCAAGATTTCTTGCACGGTCAGCAGTTCAGTTCGGTCAACCCCTGAGCTAACGACTGAAGTCTGGAAGGGAGGCCCAAAGCTTCGCTGCCCCGTACCGCAGATTCTTCATGCACCAGGAAGAAGTCATCTTTTGGAATTTCTTCACCTTTGGATTTCCTCAAGTATATTCAGACAAACATGTGCCCCTAACAAGCGCAACGTCGTAGTGCAGGTGAGTGATAACCTGGCACAGCATGCGTCAGGCTCTAGCCTCGAAGGCAGAATGGGTCAGCAGGGGAGCGGAGGTCAAGGATGAGGTTGGGACGTGGTGGGCCACGGGACCAAGGAGATGTGCATCGTCGTGTGCAGAACACGTGTGTTGGTAGTGACAAGCTTGCGTAACGAGAGATGCTAAAACGAGGGTCGAAGCGCATGCTCTGCTCACATAGCTGAGGCCCAAGAGCAGTTAGAGTTAGCTGTTTTTCTTTTCTCTATGGAGACAGTGAGCCATGGCTGGTTCGTGGGGAGATGACGCGTCCGCTCCGGACCTTTGGGCAAGTCTGCATACGGTGATGAATGCACTTCGCGGATCTGGTGCCGCTCTTGGAGCGCTTCGAGCTGGAGGAGCTGGTCGCCTTCGAGAAGAAGCTGCACCAGAGTCTGGTCAGGCAGTTCAGTGCCTTCGTGGATCGTGAGCCAGCTCCAGGTCGCCCAAGGCAGCGGCCAAAGCTGCAGCGTCAAATCGCGAGTCAAGAGGGCCAGGGCCAAGCTGCTACTTCGACTCCAGCGAGTTCGGCAACTACACGCCTGGTGGTGGGGGAACCCGAGCCGAGGCCGCAGCCGGTTCGCCTCCGAAGGCAAACAATACCACCACTCCGGCGAGTTCGGCATCTGTACGTGGTGCGACGCGGCCTGGGCCAAGTTGGAGCAAAGTTTGCAGCCTTGGGCTGCGAAGAAGCCAGGTACGCCCGGGCCCCGGGCCCCCTCCGATGTTGGCAAAGCTTGCACAGCATTCTGCAGAGACCAAGCAGTTCGCTAAGGCCGCCGCCTTTGCCAGGGCTGGAGCCAACAAGCAAGAAAACGACCGCCAAGGCAAAGAACATCAAAGAACGAAGCGCCCGCTAAGCCGAGGCCGCCGCCGACACCAAACTACCACAAACACGAGAACACCCAGCCGCAGGCCGCGCAGCATGTCACCAAACAAGCCCGCTCCCTCTTGCGACGCCCAAGCAGATGCAGGACTTGGAGGCTATGGACGACGACAACAGGGGGCGAGCAAGGACATGCCGCAGGTCGCCAAGTCCTACCACAGTCCGGCAGCAGCGACAGCAGTGCCGCTTGTTATGTTCGTGACAGGGTACTGTAAGTTCGGAAGCAGCTGCAAGTTCGCATGCGGAGGCCAGGGCCGCAACCAAGGCTCCCTGCCTCCACTGCCCCCGGCCTAGGGACAGCTCGGAACGCTTCAGCCGTCGGGGGTGCCGCCCGCAGTGTTGCTAGACGGTCACCTTCACGCGTCATTACAGCGTTTGCATCAACCCATCGCGAAAGGCACCAGCAGTTCGCAACAGCAGTCCACCAACCCCCTAATCCCTAACCCGTGTCCATCGCCCTGGGCGCTCACGACTAGGCCCCAAATTAGGCTGCCAGGTGAGGCTATCCGTCGCCGCAGCAACCACTCACAACTGCAGCTTCGTCCGCGTCTCAGCGTGCAGCCGCTCCGCAGAGTGCTGTAACAACTTCCACCGGACATGACCAACAAAACCACAACCGCGAGTTCGTTTTCCAGTAACAGTCCTGAGCTTCTTTGCTGGTATAGGCACAGCCTTGTACGCACTCAAGACATGGCAGGTTCGCCCGACCGTTGCGCGGGCTTCGGAACTCGACTCCGAGGCCATCAAGGTCGCATTCTCCCAACATCCCGAGTTCATACATCATAGCGATGGTTTTTGGTCACAACGCTGAGGACGTGCTTGCTGCAGTCTCGGCGTCCGTGCCTCGAGACACAGTGCTGCTGGTCTTCGCTGCGCCGCCTTCCCATGATTTCTCTAGGAGCCGCAGCAACCCCCCAGGGAAAGAGGGAGCTAAGTTCGCAAAGCTCGCCGAGTGGATTCTGGAGTTCGTTAAACTTTCGCAGCTTAAGGCTTTAGGGCTTTAAGGTACTGTTTCTAGTGGAGACTGTCATGATGCCATCGGGCATGCAGCAAGAGTTCGACCAAGCCCTACAGCGCAGAGCGTTCGCGTGCGACGCTTCGAGCTGGGCAAGAAACGGAGGGCGGAGCGTCCTGAGACCGTTGACACTGGAAAGATTCCAACAGGGCTTATAATCCTCCCTGGCAGTTTCGCAAGCATGCCCTCGTGACGGTCGCTGGGAAGCAAGCCTCCAACCAGAGAGTGGCTTCAGCTAATTTCAGTGGACACAGCCGCGGTTTCCCCACAATGTCGGGCGAAACTCTCGGGCAACGCGTGGCACACAGGGGTCGCAAGGTTGCTTCTGGGTGTCAAGGAGCAGTCTTGGACTCACAAGCTGTGTCAGTCGAGCCGTGGTACCCGCCAGTTCCAGACCCCTGCTTTCAGGTTGGATGGCACCAAAGAGTGGCTTCGTGGTGGCTGAGGTCGACAGTCCGCTGGGACCCCCACAGAGCCGTCGCAACCAAAATGGACTTCTCCTCGTCGCGGCCCCTTTCGCCACTTCGAGTGGTTTCACGTTCGCAACAGTCTTCCCCACCCTCCTTAACCCGTGCCTTTCCTGGACCTTTGACGTTCAAGACCGCCTAGGTCCACAGGTCAACAGCGTTCGCCAGGGCAGTGTCGCGAGACCTTGACGGTCTGGTCGCCGGTTGCACGAAGACCAAGAGAGCTTCTCCCAGCACACGTGGCAGCAGTTTACAGGCAAGGTTCCTCAGAGTTCAGGTTTCAGTTACTCCCACACGCGTGGCTATTTGAGCTTTGCCCGTTCCCTGATCGCACTCAACTCCCGTCTGAATTGTTTTGTGGTAAGCTACTAGGCCACGTCACACCAGGTTCGGGTTGGACTTACAGGAACGACGCGAACTACATGTTCGCAGAACTGGTCAAGGAACAGCGAGTGGGTCGCGTGCAGGGCCCGCTTCCGCGGGAATTTCTCCGTTCACCAGCCTTCCAGCTCGCGAAAGGTTTTCCAGTCGTTCAGAACGACAAGGTTCGAAGAGTCGACAATTGGCTACGGTCACGATACAACGAGACGGTCGCAGCACTGGACTGTCCTCCTTACTTGGGAGCACCAACTGTGGTCGCGGGCGCTCTTGAGTGTTCGGCCAATTTCCATCCAGGTACTGCCAAAGCCACCTTCTGAAGCCATACATGGAGGAGGGGGCAAGAGCTTGGGTCGTGTTGTCGGGCCCTGCTGACCTACACTGTAGCAGACAAAACCCTAGGCCCTAGGTGTGCAAGCATTGAGGAGCGGACGACACCGCTGTACCTGGTGCAGGATCCATCACCTCACCTGTTGGACTCCAACCCGTCCTTCCCAGGCTCCATGCACGAAATTCGTCATCTCGTGCCCTTGGCTTCCTGGCCATAGCTTGCATCGTAGTTCAACCCATCCATTCAAGTTGTCTCCCTCAACAGGGTACATCGGCCATGTCATGCCGTAGCCACCCCCCGCCACCCCTATCGGCAGTCGACCACGAAGGGGCTTGCAGGTCGCTCCCGGTTCGCGAACCGTCCGAGTGCGAGTTGGTTTTGCCCGCAAGACGCCCCCGACACTCTGGTCTCGCTTCGCTTTACCTTTTGGTGCCGTGGGGTCGGTTTGGGGGTACCCTAGGGACGCAGACGTGGTTGTTTTCCTCACCATCGTACTTCTTGTGATGTTCGCAGCGCATTACGTGGATGACTTCTTTTCGGTTGAACAAGCCTCCACCGCAACAGGGGCGTTCGCCGTCTTCCAACCCCTTCACCCGATTCTAGGCTTCCGGATGAAAGAAGAGAAGTCGAAGCAAATTTGCAAAGAACAGACCCTGCTCGCCATCGAATGGACTTTCGACAACGATGCACTGTTCGCATCCCCAGGGCCTATACGCATTCTCAGCGGAGTACAGCGTTGACGGGCAAGTTGTGGGCCCGAGTTCGCTGCCTCTCTGGGTGAGACGAGCACTGTGCCAGTTGTTGCAATTGTTGCCACAACTTCAGCCTAGGCGGTGTGCTCTTAGCATCTCCGAGCGTTCCAGACCCGTCGTGCAGTCGTGCATCTGTACGCTGATGCTTTCATCACAGTACACGGAGTTCGAAGGAGTGGGAACAGATGGCTCGAGGAACTTCCTCCATTCCAGGAGTTGCGACAAGCCACCAATGGCTTTGGAGCCATTGTGGCTATCCCGGGTCGCCCTCCGATAGGCTTTCGCGGAGAAGTGCCTACCGAAGTACTGGAAGACATAGCACACTCCAGACCCTACATCTTCTGGCTCGCACAGATCTTGGCGATATTTGGCGATTGGGCGATATTTGGCGATTGCCACAGTGAGCAGAATGTTCGCAGCACATTGCCTGTGCTGGATCGACAACACGTCCGCGAAGCACGCTCTCAATAAGGGCTATATTCGAAGGACTTTCGTCTCTCGGCGATTATAAGAGCTTTTTGGGTGTGGGCTGCCTGTAGGTCAAGAAGAGATCTAGCGGAGCTCACCTCGATCAAGGGCATCTTCAAAGAACTGTCGTTCCACGAGATCTGGCCAATTCTAGTTCGTTTCCAAGCAGACTACAAGGACTACCAAAACGAGTTCGCTCAGCTGGTCGCTCTTCGGTCACGACAGCTTCGCTAGCGCGCAAGAGGTGGCTTCGAGGCTCGCAGAGGGTGGCTAGTTCGAGAGCGCTACGAGCGAAGCTCGAGACTTCGGTTCGCCACCATCCCGAAGGGAAGAGTGGACAAAGAACTTGTCCGTGCTACTGCAAGCTTCGTGCAGCTGAGATTGTCGTGCAGAACATGTGTGTTCGTAGTGACAAGCTTGCGTAACGAGAACTGCTAAAGCGAGGCTCTGTTCGCATAGCGGAGGCCCGACAGCAGTTCGAGTTAGCTGTTTTTCGTTTTTCCCGCCTCCCACCCGGAGTTACAGAGTCCGGCTAGTTCGCTCGCGCCTCCTGTGAAGCCGTTTTTCGTTTGAGCTACGCAGATCGAGATCGCCACGAGCGAAGCTCGAGACTTCAGTTCGCCACCGTCCGGAAGGGAAAAGTGAACAAGAGAGTCTGTTCGTGCTACTGCACCAAGCTTAGTGCAGCTGAGCTTGTCATTTTTGTTTGCTGCTTTGGGGCTTTACTGACTTTATGCACTGCTCGGCGAGAACTAGCAATCACGAAATGAAATCCAAATGCAGACAAAAGTCAGTCCGCATGGGAAGACCTGAGAACCACGGCAACAGATTGAGGTAAGGGCCGACAGCAAACTCGCATAGCCGCGCTGCTTCCACAATACAGCGAGGATACGGTAAGGGACGGTTTCCTGCTTTTCAGGCTGCAGAAAAGATATGCGGCTGAAGGCCCAGGTCAAGCCAATCCATGCAGAGCCAATCAATGCGGCCAAGAACAACTCATGGCTGAAAGCGGCGGCGCTGGTGACCGCCATATGCAGGCTTCGACTGCAATCAGCCTCATACAGTCATACAGGCGAATGCCAAAATCGCAAAACGTAAAACGCCGCTAAAGCCGAAAAAGCACGGTTCTGTGCATCCGCGACAGCAAAACCAAAAGCAGCAAGAGCATGCTGGGCAAGCTGTTCCTTGGGCTTTCGGAATTAGCAGAAAACATGATAACTGATCACCACACCGCCAAATAGGCCGGTGATGAACCGACCGGTGTGGCTTGGCCTTGAGTATGCCGTAAAACAGCTTAGCATGTAGCAGTAGCAAGTCAGGGTATTAATCCCATGCTAATTAGGAGCTTCCTACACTCGAACAGCCGAGCGTGCAATTTTTATTTGGGTCGAATGAAATCGTCCGCCGGAGCATGTGTGCAACACAGCTGTGCATGGAGTTAACATCTGCGTGCTGCAACGTGGATGTCATGGAACCGTTCTTTGTTTCTTCGAGAACCTAGGATTGTAGCATCGGGCAACGCTCAAGAAACCGATCACCTTTGCAGATTATTGTCGCGACAATCGAACAGGCGTTTGTCCGTTCAACTTCAATCCATGCTGGAGCCAGTGTAAGTAGCGCAGGCCTGCTAATGTTGAAGTCAGTGACCCTCGCTTTCCGGTTAGTCGGCAGCTTGCCAGACTTTGCAGCCATGAGATGCTTTGCAGGAGCGGACCACTTCTTGTTCAGGGTGTTGTTGGAGATTTTCGTAAAAGGCCCTTTGCGGTGCAGAGGGGCACCAACTTTGCTTGGGCGCGAGCACTGGCTGCATTGGAGACAGTGGTGGCAAAAGCGCCTGCGGTAGTTGCTGCCTACAACACCGCGATGGATGGCTGCAGACGTTCACAGAACTGGCAGACGACAATTGGTATTTTGGAAAGGATGACAGCAAAGAAACTGGCGGATGTGGTGTCATTTAACATTGCTATATCCGCGTGTGCCTCTGTGGAAGGAGCATCGATTAGCCTCCTGCAGCGGATGCAGGTTGACAGGCTCCAGCCTGATGTTATAAGCTTCGCAGCTGTTGCCAGTGCATGTGAGATCCATGCTCAGTGGGAGAGAGCCGTGCATCTGATGGGACAGCAACCGCTGCCGAACATATTTCTTTTTACATCAGTTCTTGGCGCTTGCGGTCGCGCAAACCAGTGGCAGCGTGCAATCCACATCCTTGCGAACATGAGCAGGCACGAAGTAGAGCTATCTACTGTGGCCATCAATGCAGCTCTGAGCATTTGCGGTCAGGCCAGGCAGTGGCAAATCGCAATTGCTCTGCTGCCTATGATACAGCAGCACAGGCTAACACCAAGCTCTGCAACCTTTGGAGCTGCTGTCAATGCCTGCGGCCGCGTGAGGCTGTGGCGGCAAGTCTTGGCGATTCTCACATTGATGCGCAGCACTAGTTTGCAGGCTAACAGCTGGATTTTGCATGGAGCAGCTTGGGCTTGTAACCGTTCCCGGCATTGGGAACATGCCGCCCAGCTCCAGACAACACCACTGGTGGATTGGCAGGTGGCCATGGACCTTTTTGCAAGGAGGACGTTTTGCAATGATGCTTTGCGTGCATTGTGCAGGCTGGGTAAGCCGAGCTTGTGCTTAAGGCTACTAGGCAATGCAGAGTCCCGCTACGCGGTCCACGCCCCCAACTCACCCAACCTCATCTCTCTGGTGGCTGGATTGGAGGCCTCCCGCCTTTCGGCTTCAAATCCGACTCCCTTGGCAGTGCCGGTGGCACGTTCACTTCGAGCGGTGCTGAATCAGAGGCGGAGCACCTGGGTCTTTGTGGATGATGCAATGGACTACGGCGGCAACACTGTTTCAGCCATCGATTTTCTACATTCCATTCGCCCCTGCTTGCCTTTCTTGCAGAGTTTTCATGGTAGCTTGTTCCGAGCCGTGGTTTCGGGCCTTTCCGCGTCACGAGAGGGTGGGCGTTCCCTGCATCACGAGCGTGTCCTCGAGCGACAGTTTTCCTTGGGTTCCTATTTCACACCGCCTGCACTGGGGCAGTTGGGCTTGGTCTTCTGCAGAAAACCATCCGCAAGAACATGCACAAGTTGTGTTTTGATATTTTGGTTTTTGACAGACTAGACATAAACAGCACAGCATGATAGTGCTTTTGGTTTGCAGGCCATGCTGCGCCGCGCTCTCGAAGAGTCAGCACGAGAAGCTGGCGAAGACTGCTACGAGGCGACGTTTGCAGCTCTGTGCTAGCATTGTCATGTGGAGTGAGGTTGCATATTTCCAAACCTCCCAGTACGAAGCGGGGTAATGCACTCTCATTAGCCCCTCGCGCCTCACGTCTCGAAAGTTGTGCTTTGACTTTCAAGGTATTCGGAGTCGGAACTGCAAGAATGATACGTTTGCCTCCAAGATCCTCCAAGCTTGTAATTGTACTTTCTGCCTTCTGCGTTTTGAGAAGTACAGGCTGAGCTGCAGCGCATCCTAGAGGACCTGCACGGTACTCGTGGCACCCGGCGAATGTTTGCTGAAGGGCTTGGCAGTATTTGGCAGGTTGATATTCGGAAATGCATCATCAGCTAGCTTTTGCCCTGCAAAGTGTCCCAACCGTTGTGCTCCGAAGGAGTCTGCTCGCGAAATGACTTCAAACGTGCTTCCTGCTGGGCCCCAAAAACCAGCGATGCAACAGAGTCAGAATGGAAACTGAGACCGGGCTGACGCTATACTGGCACCGTCAACTAAGGACGATCTCTTGCGTCCGTGAGTCTCAGCACTGCAACATCAAGTTTCAGCTTGCTTTCGCGGGATCGACAGTGGGGGGCAGGGATGCCAGAAACGAGGCAGTATGTAAGCTTGCGGTGACCTGACGATTTTCCAAAGCGAAATAGAGAAAGTCGAAACAAAGCAAGCCCCACGTACGTTCAATGGTTACTTGGGCCTTAGTGTTGGTTGTAGTATTTTGTCAAGACCACCTTTGCCTCCAGAACCTCTTTCGTAGCCATGGCATCCCTCCCCTCGAACCCCCCTTCAGACCCCATGATGCTTGAATGAAGCATGCCACGACGCTGCAAGAGTTAGCAAAGGATCAAGCTGAGGTTGCAGGAACCGAAAGGGACTTGCCTTGCTTGGTCTTTAGTGAACTTATGCCGAGGGTTGCGAAGACCGCTGTACAGCGACGCCTTCTGCAGAAGATTCAGAAAAGCCAACATTCGGGAGCTCTTGAACTGAGCGCACAAGACCGGGCAGCACGACAAAGCGCAGCAAAGTGACTACAGACACCTCAAGTGCCGCAAGGTGTGATGAGGTGTAGGTGTGTGCCACAAGCGGTCTTATTCGTGAATGTGTGTGTGTGTGTGCGTGTGCGTGTGCGTGTGTGTGTGTGTGTGGCAGCTGCATGTGCTTGTTTGTGTGTCTGTGTGCGTTTGTGTCTCCGTCTCTGTCTGTCTCTGTGTGTGTGTGTGCGTGGCAGCTGCATGCGCTTGTTTGTGTGTCTGTGTGCGTTTGTGTCTCTGTCTCTGTCTCTGTCTCTGTCTCTGTCTCTGTCTCTGTCTGTGTGTGTGTGTGTCAGCTGCATGCGCTTGTTTGTGTGCCTGTGTGCGGTTGTGTCTCTGTCTCTCATGTGTGCGTGTGTTTGTTTGTGTGTGTGTGCGCATGTTCCTGCGTGTGCTTGCGCGAGCGCTTCTTGCCCCGGCAACGACTGCATGGATTAACTACAGGGACGCACATGCTAACGGACTGGAGATTATTGAGGATTCCTGTCAGGATGCAGTGTCGTTGTGCTGGTCGTCTGGCCTCGTGCACCGTGTGTTCATTACGTGGCTACGTGAACTCGGCAGCGGTGATGCTGCAAGGACATGTGCACACAGCGGCGGACTTCCCAATGCCCAGAAGCTTCTAGGGTAAGTCAGTCGGAAACTCCGGCGTGCCGCAACATGCAGCGCGTGCCCCGCCTTAGCATGCGTCCTGCATATCTTGGCAATCATGGTCTGCCCTTGTGTCCTTCGCCGGTAACCAAGCACGCAAGCAGGCTTGTGCTGAGGGTAAGCAGGATTGATTGAGGTTGTTCGACCTCAATCGCCAAACGCTACTTGAAACAAAGCGTGGCAAGCATGTCAATTGAGCTTGGCAAAGTTGGAGTTGACGATGGCGCACATATCCGTAACTGCAGAGAAACACATGCAGCTGCACTCGCTAAGTCGAAGCAGGTTCAAAATGTTCGTTTTCGTTATGCACACTGTCATTGCAAACATGGAAACTTACCAGGCTTTGGAAAGCTCCTGACATCTTGGCTTATCCTGAAGATCTGCATGTGCTGTCAGCCACTATATAGTGTGCTTCCACGGACGGCATGTGCAACGCTGATGCAGCTGTCGGGCCCAGCTTTGCATCGCTTCTTTGCCAGAATGGCCCCCGCAGTGTAGCGTGCCCGAGGATTTGAAGCAGCCGAGGTCCCCTCTTTGCATGCGGCACCACACTTTCTAGGCATTTTCCAGTGTGTGCAAATTCTTTGGCCCGAAGGTCATGAGCCGGACCATGCGACCCATCGATGTTCTTTGCGAGGAGGACCGCCGTTGAGGAGTCCAGGGCCCTAAGCGAAGCAGCTAAGCCACCGCAAGCTAGGAGCGGCTTCGAAGACTCTCCGAGCGGATGGTCTACGACAGCAGCTCCTTGAAGCCAGCGTAAACATAGAGCAAAGAGTTTTTCTATTCTCTTTTGCATGCCCCGACATGCCCGCATGCTCGCATTGTATACGATCTTGCAAGGCGACGGCGCCGAGCATGCCCGTCAGAGGCGTGCCCGGACGCTTGTGGAGGAGATGAGCCTTCTGGGGTCGCGGCTGCGATCGAAGTCCAATGAAGATCGTCGCTTCGATGCGGTCGAGGCCCTCGAAGCTGGTTTGGAGGCGAGAAGGAAGCTGAGCCAGGCCAGCCAGGCCAGCCAGGGTTTGCTGGCGAAGGAGTGCGCTTCAGTTCCAGCTTCGGCACCCGTCCCACAAGCGGCCGGCGATCTGCAGTCGGATCTCTCAGATGCACTGGAGCGGGTCTCCGTTCGCTCTGTAGTGGGACTCCGAGGCTTGGTGGAGGTTCCCAGGCCAGTCGAGGCTGTGGTTGTCGCCGTTCTGCAACTTGTGAACTGCGACTATGCTGGTGTTGATCTGGATCCCTCGCCTCCACCAACAACCTGGGAAGAAGCACGTCGAGTACTCTTAAAGCCCGGCCACTTTGTGAGTGCTTTGCGGAAGTTTCCCTTTGCATTGCAGCGTGGGCAGATATTGGAGAGTGAGATAGCACAAGCAGAGCAGGCCTGGAGCAACGTCCCCAGTGCAGGAGCAGGGCTTTCTCACGTTCATGAGGCTGCTCTCCACTTGCAACTGGGATGGCCTTGGTAACACAAACTTGTCTGACGTTTTCCCATTACTGTAGCTTTTAGGATCGTTTACGTTTACGTCTTGGTGCCGGGCTCCTGAAGCTGTCGAGGTATGACTGGCTGACGATTGCTTTAAACTTCGCCAAAAGCATCGCCGAGAAAGCTGAGAGCGAGCGACTCCCGGCCTACCCTCGCTCTGAACCTGGCTCTCCAGACTGGAAGCAGCCCATGCAGCCCATCGCCCCTTCTGTCTCGATCGCCCGGAATTCAGAGCGGCCTCCTGAGCCACAAGGGCGCGAGATGCGCGAGGTCCAGGTCCGCGACGCACGGAACGCAGCGAAAACGCAGAAGAGGCAGGAGCTCGAATTTCTCCTTTGCTGTGATGTTTCCTATGCCTGGCCAGGTCACTATCACCCAAACTACCACACAAGCCACCCACTGCTACGACAGCCACAAACGACTCAGCACGCCAGAAGCCCGGTGAGCAAGCCAAGTCTGACCACTCCACTGGTCATGCGATCCAGGCATCACTTGGTCAAAGACGTCAACTTCTTCGACGGGGTCGATGAGTACCTCACCCGGCTCGTCGAGATCGGGCTTTAGCGCGCACTAGCCCTGGCAAAGCGTTCACCTGCATTTCGGACTCTGTTGCTGTTCGACCTGAGCGGTACTGCATGCAGGTCGTGGTCTGGGCTTGCAACTTGCAAGCCTACGCACACACGTTCCCGAGTGTCAGTCCCAGGCACGCAAAAGACTGCTGCCGCCTCTATCTGCCACTTGTACAGAGCTGGCAGGTACGAGTCCACGGAGAAGCAGCCCTTCACCAACATCCGGACTTTCAGCCGCCAAGCCGTCATCCACGCGGATCGCCGCTTGACAGGGATAGTCCAGAATGCACACTCGGCTGAAGAAGGTCGGGTTTATTGACGAGCAAAGCAGAAGTGCTTAGGCAAACATGCATTGGAATCGCAAAGAGAGGGAAGAAAAGGAGAAAGAGCCTCCGTCTTGACGGCAGGGTCGACATACTTTAAAATTTGAATCACGGCCGGCATATAGAATGTGCGTGATGATGAACAAACTTGCGGCATTCGCACCAAGTAGCAGCTTCGACATTTGCTCTCCCATGAGGCTGCGTCCTCTGCGAGATCCCCACAGCCCCGCACAAGGACACTCGGATCAGATGCAGCGCAATTGGCTGATGGGGTCATCGGTCGGGCAGCTAAAGGTAGTGTTCTCGGCCAGAATGGATCACATGTCACGGTATTGCCTCGCAAGTATTCTTTGTAGTCGCACGCAACGAGAGGCAAGTTATGCGCAAGTCGACCTCGCCACAGCCAAAGCCAAAGGCCAAAGATGAGGCAGAGGCGCGAGAGCGCACACATCATTTTCAGCGGTGTTGCCCCTACTTAAGTAGGCAGCAGGTGTAGAATTGCAAGTTTGCACACTTGAAGCTTCATGTCTTTGGGTGTTTCATGGCTCGCCCACGATGACCGACATGCTAGAAAAGGGTGCAGCCACACCAGCGAAGGCCTTCTCGACCTACTCAACGATCCATATGTATCTGGGTGTTCAGGCTTCAGGCGCTTAAACGATGTCGGCGCAGCCTGGTTTGAGGTTTGTCTAACCGGGATGCACACACTTACAAACTGATCCGCCCGACGAGACCCTTGACTGCCGATACATGCCGATACGGCTCCATGACTCTTTACAGAGTTTGGCGACAAGGCTTTTCGGTCCAGGCCTCTTATTCGACATCCGATCTTTGTCTCACAGTTCCTTAGCCCTCGCTGTTGTGTTCTCAACTGAGACATGCTTTGACGATACTTGAATTTACCTTTGGCTAGCACATATCCTGTACTTTGGGAAGATTTTGGAAGAATTACAGAGGGAATTTGCCGACACCTCGCTTCGGTTGCCGAAAGAGGAAACCACCCCCACATTCCTATGAGTTTCCTGCTCGATCAATTTGGAACTTGCATTGTTCAGGCTGGTCAGCCTCGCTCAACCGGCGACATTGCACCCTTGAGTAGCAGCATCTTCGGCAGCAGTCCACATTTGTAGCAGGCGGTGACTCTGAAACTCTGTTGTTAGTAGCTTTTGTCTGCTGATGTGCCCTCATTATCTACGCCATTCTACGCCTGTCGAAACGGTCATGTCATCTGCACCTTGTGCTCAACTCCCCAGCCCTCTCGAAATCTCTCGAACCGTGATTACTTTCCAGAGTGTGGGTCTCACAATCATACTGAAGGTTGGGAGCCAAACAAGTTCATTCAAGCCCTCACCCTATGAAGGCAATATGAGGCTTCATCTGATTGGTAAGCTAAGCCTGATCAAACTGGGCCTTGAATGTGAACCTGGCAATTGCAAGAGTCATCAAGAGTCGCAATTAACAGGGTCCCGATCCTGCCCGGCCAATGATGAGAATACCCTGGCTCACGCGTGACCTTCTGGCACCAGGCCAGATCTCATCGCTGAGCTCTGCGACTGGGTTGCCAACTCCAGAAGACTTTGCAGCGATGCGAAGTCGGTTGGACCAGGAGAAGAGGGAGGCGGTCCAGTCTCCACTGCGCAGAAGACCTTGAGCTTCAGCATCCATGGCCGCAGGTCAGGCAGATCAAGTCTTTGGAGTCGCAGCTGAAGTGGGGCCTACAACGTGAAGAGCGACGGCAGACTGAGGAAGAACGGAGGGAAGAGGCGAGCAGTTGGTTTTCGCTTGCCATCTGCCGTTGCACATTGTACGGGCAGGCCCGACTGATCATGGAATGGAGAGATCGTCAGGCCAAGGAGATGTGTCTTGGACTGGCCCGCTTCTGTAACGCTTCCCTTTCTTCAATCTATGGACTTCAAGGTATCTTGAGTGTGGTATGTCGAATTGGAACTGTCATCTCCGAACAACGCTTCACACTGTGTTCACATAGTCTTCACTTCCATGCGGACGGAAGGCTGGGTCACGCATCTGTGCCGAGTTAGGCAGCTATGGTCTGCTAGCAAGGGGGTCGTTCTTGTCGTTTGCATCGGTGAGGCAGCTGGCAGAAACCCATGCGCCATGTTAACAACGATTCACAACCTGCCCGGTTCAATTTGACAGGGGCTGCTCATGGATGCACCCCGAATGCTGCTGGCTCGACTGCAGAACGTGGAGTCATTTGTGATTTCTCTGGCTCGAGGAAAGATTTTGTCGAGGAGAAGAGTCGAGAGCAGCGTGTGCAGGAGCTACTGCAATCCAAGGACAGGACGGCACAATCCAAGGTTTCATGTCTGGGGGTCTGCAAAATTCACGACGCAAGGAGTACCAGGTTTTCAAGCGTGAATGGAAGCAAGCCACGCGGAAAGATGAGATCGAACAGATCAAGGCTTGATAATCTTGCCGCATTCGGAACTAAATTGTCCACCATCTCCCATGTATTCTTGCTTGCCACTACATGTCGAGGCAAGACGCAGCATGTGCTCACATGTGCTCAAAATGCTTCATGAGTAGTTACGAGCATCGTGGCATATCGTTGTACACTTGCTTTCTTGATGCTGGCGGTGCAGGCTCAGCTGGCCGAAGGCATGGACAACGCCCACTGGAAACTTGAGCTGCAGTTTCTCGAATGCAGAGCAGGGTCAAGGGTAAGTGCTTAGCAATGCTTGTGGCCTTCACGCCCAGCTGGCCTCACCACACCACCTTTTCAGCCCAGGCGGGCAGTGGAGCTGGACCGCCAGCTCGCTTTGCAGGAAACCATGGAGTCCCAGCAGGAGATGAAGGAGTCGCCCGACAGATCTCAGACATCAGACGTAAAAACAGGATTTGAGTTGTGTCGGAATGACCTAAATTGCCCTGCTCTGCTATAACCTCTAGAATCTGCGGCATCTGTCGACAACAGGTGGATAGCCGCCGAAGAAAAGCACAATGACAACTCAGGTTACGAGAAAGGGAGCGACAACACGAAAAAACTGTGCAGCTACAGGACGCAGGGGATACTCACTTTTCCCAGATCTTGCCTGCAAGCTGTTGCATGTGGCCGCAGCCGGCACTTCTGCTGACGTGGATTGTCGTGCACAGGACAGAGCACACGACCTTGCCTTGGAGTACGCACATCAGGCCATGTGGTGATTTCATGTGCTCGTCGGATTGAATGCGTTGTTTGGCTTCACAGCTCGATCTTTTGCGATGATCTGCCCGTCGTATGAGATCTGACATGCAGGCTTCGCAGATCTCCTCAGAGAAAGAGGAGTCGGGACGTTTGAAGGAAGATTTATTCTGCCAGCTTTATGGAACAAGCTTGACTGTTTTTGTTCGTGGTGTCCTTGGTTCTTGGTGTTGTTGCTTGTTGGCAGCTCTTTGGTGCAGATGGCTCGGTTGCTTATCCTGCATGACGCTTGCAGTACCGTTCTACTGAAACGGTTGCACATCCAACGACGTTTCGCGAGCAGTTTGATGTTGCGAATGCCAGGCAAGATGACTGCAGCATATTGCAGCTTAGGATGGCTTGTTCGTAGCCCTCTGAGCAGTTTTCTTTCTAGCGACGTCCTCATAGTGCCCGATAAACCACGTCGGGGGTGGGGATTTCCCTCAGTCTCGGGCGCAAAAGAGAGAGCCACAGAGAGAGAGACAGAGAGAGACTATCCCCTACATCATAGCCCTGGCGAAAGAAAGACTCAGCCCGGGGACTCTTGAGCCGTGGTTTTGTTGAAGTCTTCACTTTTGGTGCCGTGTCAGAGTCCCCGTTTCAGCTCCTGTGGAACAACGCAGTTTCACGCCGACTTGCGCTGGACTGGACGTTGCGAGCCCCTTCGGGGGAGAGCGCCTGCGCGCTCTTGCTCGTTAGCAAGCAACAGCCGCGGGTCCCAGGCTCCCTTACATGGAGACAGAGATGCGCTACGACCTCCTGTACAACAAGTACCGGATGCGCGTCACTTGCCCACCATGGATCCATGGAATGCGCTGGCATGCGCTGGCCCATATGTATGCGCGTGCTGCCTCCCCACATGTGGAGGAACAATCCGCTCGGCCTGGACCGCATGGTACGAGCCGGCCAACAGCAGCAGACGCCCAGCGAAGCAGACACCATGGCACCCAATGGCCCGAGCAGCATGACTGAGAATCAGAACCAAGCCGAAGTCTACGCTGACGTACCTCATTCACAACAACAGCCCGGATCCATCACCGCGACAGAGAGAGCCAGCCCATGCACCCAACAAGCTGACTCGGACACAGAAGCATCACCGGAGACGCACCGTCAAGCTCATGATCCGGACCCTGACTTCGATGACGCCGACATCGACTCCGATGAGGACTGTGAATCGTCGGGGGGCGCTTCCCTGGACGAACCTGGAACAACCCACGAGAGCAATCTACATCGTCGATAGCATCGGGGGCAACCTCGACCAAACGGTGTGGCGGGCATGGCAGCCAACGCGTTAAGAACAAGGGGCAGAAATCAGACGTTAGAGCGCTATATGGAGACAGATGAATTGGGGCGAAAAGCGTTGGCACCAGACGCTGCCGTACATCAAACGTGGTGAGCGCTCACCCGCCCAAAAACCATCGAAGACAGCCGTGGATAAAGCGAAGCTGGCGGGACTGCTCAAGGCTCACCATTACGTTCGGGGCCCGACTCCCCGATCACCCCACTACATCCACAACCGGATCAACGACTAGCGGCACAACCAGTTCGCGAGGACCAGACGGACAAGGCATCGAGTGCAGCGGTTGATGACAATGAGCGGCGACTTCGGGCACACCCGTATCTACAACCTCCCGACGAACGTCCAGGACTTGCCCACGGCTCAAGCAGAACAGGGGGCAACACCTCTACGACAACAACAAGGACTCGATGCACTACAACCCTCGGACCGACCTCGCTCCGCCACCAGTTCGTCCCAAACTCTGCAACAACCACAACAACCACCGCAAAGCCGGAAGGTCGGTTTTGCCTTTCGCAAACATCCACCGAAAGTCCTCCGCAAGCTGACCAACTGCACCAAATTGCAGATCATCGCAGACGGCCTCCAGCGTTACCCTGTGGAATATGTCGATAACCGCCCTGACTAGATGCGAGGGGACCCAGCGCCAGCTGTCACCAGCAATGCTCAGGAGGGTGACCTCCTACTCCACCAGCCTCGACACTTGGCCCCAGAGCAAACGCAGCAGCAGGATTCCGGTACGGGCTTTAGCAATCACCCCCCCTCGTCAAAAGGGAGCAGGCCAGCCTTCCAAGGCCAGAGCCCAAGCCACAGATCGAGGAGCTGGACGAGACATTCAGTCCGGTGTCTTTGAGGCCAAGGATCATCCTCACCCTTCATGGCACTCCAGTAGGAGCATGGCGCGGAGCCGTCTGGAGACCAGTAGGCCATGACCCAATTCGCCGCCCACTGCGCCTGGATGTGGAGTTTAGGATGGTGATTTACAATACATTGCGGAGCACTACCCCAAGCAACCTGACGCTGGCTCCGGGCACAGAAGCGAATTGCGACCACATGCGACCACCAGATTCGAACTGGGATATGCGAGCACACCGAGATTCTGGTTTGTCACCATCAATTCCAGCCCGCCCTCTTGCAGTCTAGGGGAGATCCCCTGAGAGCTGAAGCTACGTTTTTTATGGAGAGGTGAAGAACAGAAGTGGGTGAGGAGACCCAGGTTCGACCAAGATATTGCGCGCCTCGGAGGATTTTTTGTGGTATTTCTGGCGGAACAACCACGACCACCTACTCCACCGGTGCGAGGCACCCCAGTGGGCCGCAACAACCCCGTCGACGAGGAGATTCCGAGCGACCACCGACGACGCCTCTCCCTCGCCGAGTTCCTCCCGAGTGATGCCGGTGACCCACGTCGACTATTATTCCATCGACACCAACTACAAAGTCGAAAGCACGTCCTCCACTGCCGCCACAACCCTCCGCTTCGATGTCAGACTCAGAGACCAGCTGGCCAAGCTCCGACGAACGACGAGATGCTGATGCCGATGCCCCCACACTGCTACAAACAAGTCCCGACCTGGAACCTTGAACGCCCTCCACCTCTACTACCACAAACCACTGCCACCATAGCAGGCTTTCTCCTGCAGCCAGCGGACCTCCTTCATGCGAGACAAGTACAACGTGACGGCCCACCGCCTCCTCCACCTCCTCCACAACAAGGACCAGCGCGAGCTCCATTTCGCGAAGTAAGGCACCTTGAGCCAAAATGTCTCCTTCTCTCTCGCCTTCTCTCCGCCCCCCCTCCCCGCCAGGGCTGTGGTGGGCAGTTGCCTCCCCACCGCGCGCTAGTGTTGTGCAAAGTCTTTAACTTTAACAGGGGCTGCAAAGCGAAACCTCGGCTGCAACTTTTCTCCTTCTTTGGAATTCGTTTCACGACGGGAGCCAGCGGAGGACCTTCGGGACCCCAGCCGCCCCAGATATCTTTCCGTTCAGCTTTCAACAACAGGGTGTGCCTTTGCCTGGGTGTGTAACGTGTAGGCAGGCCGCCTGAGCCATTCCACACTGATCCAATTGCCCCTCTTTACCCTGACTTTTCCTTCTGTCTGCCATTCTTGAAACGGGGACAACCCCGCTGGCCATAGTGCAATCGGGGAGTTTCATGTCTTTCCTCGCGTGCGGGTCGGTAAGCCCAGAACCAGATGCCATGATAGTTTTATTCGCTGTAGCTTTCGAGAAATATTCGCGTTGGCTTCCGATGCTGAATGCCGAGCTGTCAACTGCAAACTCAAAAAGGGATGGGCTCCGAACAAGGACGGTTTATTCTGGTGATAACCTTGCCCCAGCCTTTGAGGGTTGGTGAAGTGACTTTGTGGTACCAGAAACAGGCGGGGGCGCAAGAGCGCGCAGGCAGGGGGTCTCCCCTCCTGTCCCCAGCCCTGGCGAGGGAGGGAAAGAGAGAGAGAGAGAGAGAGATACGGTCTGCGTTCGTTCGTCACTGCCCGTAGCCCAACAAGACGTTGGGTGGGTCCGGGGACGCTGACCCGTCCCCACGCCCGGGAGAGAGAGAGAGAGAGAGAGAGTGAGAGATACGAACTCTGGTTTCCGTTGCCCAGTTGTTGTTGCTCCTGCTGTTGTGCCAGCTGAATCTGGGGAGCAGACTGCAGCACACCCGTGTGCGGGACCGTTGTGTTTTGCATTCTTTTGCTTTGTGTCGCTAGAGTCGTCTTTGCTTGAACGCCCAACTCAGACACTTTGTAACTCCCCTACCTGCCCTTGCTCGTGCTGACACCGGCAATGCTCTCCGGGGGACATGATGCTTACTCTGAGGTAGCACCTCTGAGCCGAGTGGTTTTTTCACTGTACGTCGGGGATGCATGTGCATGTGTGTTGAAGCCCTTTAGCAGCGTTCTAGCATCCGCAAAACCAGAGGGGAAGTTTCAGCCTGGGTCGACATGCCTTGTTGATATTGGGTCTACGGTATGTGCCCATGATGCTTTAGTTCGCCTGCGTATCGAGTCCAACAGGCGTGCGATCCAACCAATTGCTGCAGGTGTCCCAGCAATGAAACACTGGGTAACATGTTTGGGAATGTAACTTGATCTTGGTCAATAGTGTAACCCCGTGTTAAACTTTCTGTCTCCTCAAAGCCCCACAACACGAGAGAGAGAAAGAGAGAGAGAGCCTCGAACCACGGAGAACAGAACAGCATAGAGGCTCAAGTGCGCTAGGAGAGAGCCTATAGGGGTGGCTTGAGGCCATCCGTCTGCTCGGCCTTCCTGGCATGGGGGGCATACCCGCACAGACCCAGCGTGAGCCCTCTTTGGGTCAACCGCCACGACAGGAGGAGACACTCTGGCCTTTCTAGGACGACAAAGCCGAGTCCCTGCAACAGCAACCAACAAAGGCCACTGCGAAAGCCGGATGCCTCTCGTCGTTCCGCCTTCGTCGTCTCCCGCACGATCAGCCGGAAGCCCACCAACGAGCCCAGACTACCGGGGACTTGCGGGACCATTCCAAAAGCCAGGCACGATCAACCGGAAACCCTCCAACGAGCTACTACCGGGGACTTGCAGAAAAGACCTTCCGCAGCCAACCCAAAGACGAGAACAAGCACACGGCCCGGAGACAAAACGAAAGAAGACCGGAGCAGCACCACGACGAGGGCAGTCCAAACCAGTGCCAAAGACCTTCAGAACACATCAGGGCTTCCAACCACCTCCACACAGGCACAACATGTAAGCAAGCAAGCAAGCAAACAAGCAAACAAATACACACGTACAGCCGTACAGAGACGGCGCAGACAGACACACACACACACAGAGCCACCCACACCCACACCCACACCCACACCCACACCCACACCCACACCCACACCCACACCTACACCCACACCTACACCCACACCTACACCCACACCCACACCCACACCCACACCCACACCCACACCTACACCTACGCCTACGCTTACACACCTACACCCACACCCACACCCACACCCACACGCACACGCACACGCACACCCACACCCA